AGAACAGTTGGCATCAGGTAAGACTCTTTGCACTACACTACACTGAACAGTATGGTATAGTTTGTTCATGTGCAACTGTATCCAAGCTCCATGGACTATTGTATAGTACCATATATTTTAGAGATTTATAATAGGTAATTATATTTTTAAAACAAAAGTAAATGTCAGCTAGCCCCCAAAAAAGTACTATTTCACAAGCAACACAAATTACAAGTTCCAATGTCATCTAGAAATGACTACATTAAAGTATAATTTTCTTTAAAAATATGAAAAAGTGTTATCTTCAATACAAATGTAATTGTTCGGATTTCCTTGGTAAAGCAGTAGTATGATTAAAATCAGATATGTAGTCTGTAGTTTTTGGAGGACTGTCTCAAACAGTGTACACAAGCATAGGTAACCTAATGTGACATCCTCATGTCAATCCAGCTGTGGTGGTGCTCTCTTCTTTCAGAGCAAAGGGTACTGCAGCTGTTTAGCAAGATGAATACCTTATTTGAATTGTCTGAATGATGGTTGTGTCCTTGTTTGTGTTTTTACAGCTCTTAATAAAGACAGGAAAAGCCTAACAAAGGCCTCTGAAGAGGCAATAAACTTGTCCTCCAACTCCTCTTCTGACACCTTATTTGCGGCTTCCAATTCATCATCTCACTCCTCCACTGACATAGACACATCGTCAGATGAAAAACATACCAGAGAGGTAAAAATATTAATTGTAATTCTTGTTCTCTTCAGTTTTATTTTTTCTTCTGGTTAATCATGTGTCAGTATGTCACATACATTTACTTACAGTGGATAACAGATAATCTGTACTTTGAATTGCAGCCCAAAGTCCAATACATGTGGTGTCCCGATACAAAAGTATTCTGCAGCTCTTCAGAAGAGGAGGGAATATGGCTACAGGTTTCAAGCACTATGGAGTGGACAGGAGCACAGTTGTCATCACTGCTCCAATTGCAGAGCTTTCTATTGTTGCCCCTAGCAAGTATAAAGATGTCTTGGAAAACCTACAGCCATCAGGTTAAGCTCTCTGTATTTGCAACACAGTGACCAACTCCTTCCTTTCTACTGCCCAACAGCCTTGGACATGGACAAGGATACAGAACATATTTTTTGTATTCCATTTCAGTTGTACTGAAAACTTAACAATACAATTACAATATAAAAAAATACATAAAATCAAACATGGCTCATTACAGTCAAGAACAGTTATTAAAGTGCCAAATAATGAAAAAAATAAATGAGATCCTTGTCATACTTCAACAAATAAATAAAATAGCTGGTATCTCTCAAAATAACACAAAAGGTATTTATACACAAAAAACATGTCTGTAAACAGTACAAATATGAAATCACCTAACTCTTTCAAACCCAAAAGAGTTAGGTTAAGTTTTCAGTACAACTGAAATTGAATACAAAAAATATGTTCTGTATCCTTGTGTCATGTCTTGATTTTGACTGTTTCAGATCTGCATTTCAACAGCTCAAAAGAGCTTGAGGCACTTTTGGGTTTTCTTACATATTAATTAATGCTTAATAAACCATAAACAGTCTTCACTTTAGAAGGGATCACAAAAAACAGTAACTAACAATTAACAACTCCCTGACATATTCATGCATTGCAGTATTAATAAATCATCTATTCATGTTTTATTAAGTATGAATAAACAGCGAATAACGACCTTATGCATGTCCTTAGTCACCAGGAGTAAATTGTTACTGAATGTGTTATTAAGTATGAATCATGCTTAATTAATGCTTTTCTCATCATTAATTAAGTACTTATTCATGGTTAACTAAGGATGAATAAGGTGTAGTTATTATAAAGTGTTACCGCTGTTTGTAATTACTGCCTAAATTAAACAGAACGAACCAGCATCAGATTCAAACCCAGTGTTTGTTGGATCATCGTACAGCACCTGTCAGTCAGGTGCTACATCCAGTAGCAAAACAAAGAATCCAACAACTATTTGGCAAACTTTGGTTTTGACATTCTGACTGTGGGCTTGGTCTAAAGCTGGTACACGCTATAAAGTACTGAAAGCCACAACACGGTGTCGTTAGGTATTTACGGTGTGTGAGCCGTTACCATCCCACATGTTGTGAATTAAAGCTGGGGTCTGTAACTTTTCTAACAATGACTCTTTGCCTTTCCTTCATTGCGTATCTCTGTTGCCGTGGTTACTAGCATGAGACCCCTCTCTGCTGAGCCTCAGCCCTGCAGAGGGAAGCACCAGGAAGTTGTACTTTTTCAAATTCTCTACCCAAATCCACGCAGCTCTCAACGTTTCAGACCACACCTTTAATAAGTTCTGCCCTGTTCGTACCTGACAGGCGTCCACACCTCCCTGGAGGACTCCGGCACACAGCATCCTGTCTGAGACATCGTCACCCAGCAGGCTCTTGCACACCGTGCTGTTGATGATCCGAACCGCTGCCTTCTGCAGGTCGGTCGCAGCAATGCCTGAGAGACAACGTGAAGCAGGTGATGGACTTTCACGTTAATGTTTATGACCGCTCCTGGTTCAAAACAGTTTCAACATCTGCTGTAACTGCATTACAACTAAACACGATTAAAGCCAAGTTTAAAGCTGGTAACCAAACCCTGGACTCAGATCTGTGTAACAGCCATCACTGTGGCGTTTACCACCTGTCAGTCACAGTGTAGGCAGGACTTTGACTTCCAGATGTTTTATTGCTGCAGCTACACTTTGTGGGTCATCTGCAGCTCACTAACAATGGCCCACTTCACTTTCTATAAGAAGACAGGAGCTCTGAGACGGCGAGGAGCGTTCCGTCACTGATTATGTAGTGCTGCTGGGTGGCTGTGGCTCACCGTCCTCTCTGGTGGCTCCCCAGCCGGTGATCCATGCCTCTTGGCCTGCTGGGAAGTCGTAGCTGGGGGAGGGCAGGCAGATGGGAAAGATGTACTGGTTGAGGGGGACTTCAGTGTCCATCTCCATCAGGGCGACGTCGTTGTCATAGGTGAGATGGTCGTAGTTCTCGTGAGTGATGATCCGCTTTATCTTCCTCCTCACTGTCGACTTGTCGATCTTACTTTGCGATTGCAGGCCCAGAAAGGCCTCCCATTGGTCCGCCTGCGAGTACCTGTGTCAACAAAAGCTCAAGAGGTCAGAGGTCACATCTGCAGGAGGAAGCAGTTGAACAAATTCAAGAATATTTTAGCAATGCAATGATTATTATAAGCAACTTACTAATTTATATAATTCATGTTTACCTATAAAATACAACGTGTGAGAACAAAAATGACCATTTTATCCGCACCACCCCGTCTGCATCCTAACTGATAATCAAAGGACTTTTCAGGCCCGCTCATGCCACCTTCTGTCTGATGAATTGTGGTGGCTGTGTCAGTTCAGATGGAGGAGCTCCTACCTGTATACTTGGCTGTCCTGGACGCAGTGAGCCGCGGTCAGCAGCCAGCGGGGGCTCAGCACCGACGCTCCACACACATGACCCATGCCTCTGACGTGGAGGCTGACCTGCCAGGGCCACTCGCCCTCCCGTGACACCTCACCACCCACGATACGAGAGCTCTGGTACGGCTTCATCCCGCACTCTGAAGACACACACATTAACACACATGGAGTAATACACAAACAGCTCCTGGTGCTGGCTCATAGTCACACTCAGGGTTCAGTTTACTGATGCAGCGTCCGTCCCTGCAGCGGAAGGTGAACTCCGAACACCGTGGCAGCACCAGAGCTGAACCACAGGACAAACACAGTATCAGCACTGACACAACTAAGACAGTCCTACCGACACGGTCCTACCGACACGGTCCTACCGACACGGTCCTACCGACACGGTTCTACCGACACAGTCCTACCGACACAGTCCTACCGACACAGTATCTCGGTTCTTTCAGCATGTATTTCTTATTTAAAACGTTCACTAGAAGAGAAAATAACACGGGAGATGTCTCAGCTCAGACTGTTACAAACTGAACTAGACTTTCACCAGGCAATGAAGCATTAATGAAATACACTAGCCAGTTGCATTATGGGAAATGCAGGATCCAGAGTTTTGACCTATACAGTACTAGGGACTAAATGTCAGGATATCTGCACCGGTGCTACACAGAATCTGTTGCCCACTAGTTCAGGTAATTTATCACAGGCCCAGCTGGTGCTGATCAGCTGGCCCCCATCTTCACACTCATCTTCAACATGGAGGACCTGTACACCTCACGGGTCAAATGGAGGGCAGGGAAGATTTCTGCAGACCCCTCACACACCTGGTGACAAACCGTTTGAGCTCCTCCCCTCTGGGTGGCACTACAGGTCACTGTACACCAAGACAGGACATTTTTTTCCCCTGTCGCTCTGATCAACACTTAACCTAAGGCTGTATAACAGGACAACCCTCAGGGCAGCACCTTGTGATATACTCATCGTATATGTCCATCTGAAAACGGCATCTGTGTATATGCACATTTTACAAGTACTTTTTTTTTGTATTTTCCTAATGCACATTCCTTTTTCTTTTCTTGTCCTCTTAGTCTTATCATGTTGTCTTATATAAAAGCATTGTACATCCACACAGAGCTGCTGTACCGGAGGCAAATTCATGTGTTCAACACACTTGGCCAATAAAGCCGATTAATCAGCCCTTTGACCATTTCCACTTCTGTGTGCATAAAAACAACAGGTGTAAACATAACAGGAGCTTTAGATCAGGCCACGGTGGGCACAGAGTAACATCAAGAGCATTCTTCAGCCTGTAAGGAACAACTACAGTAGGTTTTAATCTCTCCTCAATCTTTGTGATTAAGCTCAACCATTGTGAGTGAGCAGCACTGGCTCTTACATCGTTCACATTTAGACTCATCGGACCCATCAGAGCAGTCACTTCTTCCATCACACTTCAGCTGGTCTGGGATACAGCGGCCATCTCTGCAGGTAAACTGTCCCGGTTTGCATTTTACTACAACAAATAAAAACAACGTCACCAACAGTGAGATCTTCACCTAGGAAACGGTTCATGCCCTGAACTTCTGTATAAATGTCACCATGGACATGCTGGGTGAGAGCAGACAACATCATTCCCATTTATAAATAAATCCTAAACAAACCTTCACTGTACATGTATGTTGTTGTGTCTGGAGGTAACAGTCATATTTATCCACCCACCACAGTTTTCTTCATCAGTGTTGTCTCTGCAGTCGTCAACCCCATCACACAACCAGAACTTTGGTTTACAGTGGCCGTTTCCACACTGCATCTGAAACGTCTCGCACTCTGAGCGGAGACACAAAGAGAAGCCGACAGTCTGTTAGTGCAGCTCTCAACACTTAGACTTCCCTACTCTGTCTGAGGCTCTGAGCTCACAGCCCACTAGTTCCTGGACAAAATGTAAAACACACAGTGACTTTGCTGGCGACTATTTCCAGCACTAGTTTAATCCTGCTCCACTCAGTATTTGTTGCAGCTGGTGAAATGACTGACAGGTCTCGGTTAGCCGAAGAGGAGTTACATCACTTTGTCAAATAGGAATTCTTTCTTCCCATGGTCGACTCACTGCAGTTGACCTCGTCGCTGCCGTCTCCACAGTCTTCCCAGCCATCACACTGCAGAGTCCTGTCGACACACAGGTTGTTGGCGCACTGGAACCGTCCTGGACAAGCTGATTGATAAAACTCAACAGTCAGACACAACATACAAAACACCAGTCTAACACTGAAGGCAGGCTTCAGAAAGTGGACAATTTATGGTTAAAACACAGAGACCGCTGCTACTGCGCTTGGATTGAGATCAAGGTCAGTCTTACGATTGGTTGGGACAAAGGCTTCGTAGTTGGCGGTGAAACCCTGGTCGACGTAGGACGAGTCCGAAACAAACCTGATAGTCATCATGTTGCTCTGGGCGGTGAGCACAGTGCTGTCCAACTTACTGCCACACAGTCTGCGGCACAAACACACAGGCAGCACAATCAGCAAAGCTGTTCTACACTGATAAGTATGTATCTGGGTCTAAGTCACATGCTCCCCGTCCCAACTCGCTCTGTGTGTTCAAGTCTCAGTATTCAGGTCCAAGTCACTGACACACACTCCTACGTCACCGGGACATTTTCTACTTGGCCTGGAGGACAATGACCGTGGACGAAGGACAATGAGAGGAGGAAACAAAACTGACCTTTGATCGTCGACCTGAACATAGTCCCCGAGACACGGTTTACTCTGATGTCCCAGGAAAAACTTCTTGAACTGAACCTTCACAAACTTGTCCTCTGCCACCTGAAGAAATAAAACAAAGCCAGGACTTGTGAAACAGTGACCCCCCCTTACTTTGTACCCCTTTACCTCAGCCCCCCATCTTACTCTGTACCCCTTTACCTCAGCCCCCCATCACTTTGTACCCCTTTACCTCAGCCCCCCATCAC